GACATCTGAGAAATACACTTACAGTAGGGTGACCAAACGTCCCGTAAAAACATGATTGTCCCTTTTTTCACGATCGTACCAGTTGTCCCGAAAAAGTCTCTCGGGATGCCTAAATGTTCCGTTTTTTAAACCAAACACATTTTCAAATCACTAAAACTTCCAAATTTTATAATATATCTTCAAGTAATATTTTGGCTCGCTGTGTAGCCAGTGCCAATTGTGATGTGGGCTCGCGTGATGGCTGCACTGTTCCCCCTCCACCGCAGTGTCCCTGCCATAGATCTTATATGTAAATCTATAACGAAAGACACAAGACTTGACGCCGCCGGGGGGGTGGGGGGGGGAGGGGGGAAATGAGAAGGGTGTAACTTCCAAGAAACCAATTTTGATTCAGCTACTGCTACGTGTAATGTGTTAGTCTTGTGTGTGTGATCCCTTCCGGCCTGTTCATGTCCGAGTGACAGGTGTTTGTTTTGGGTGTTGAACTTTATTCTTTAATTTTAATTTTTATTATCTTCTCATGACCATGTAATTATGCCCAAGCGTCAATGTAAGTTTATGGAGGAGTATTCCAAAGAGGGAACTATATTAAAAAGGGATACTATGAAAGTGAAGCTGGGTGCACTAGTGCACAATTTGCAATGATGTTAATAGTATTGGTCATGGTGGACGTTCAGACATAAAACAACATATCACATCAGTGAAATATTAAAGGAAAAGACTGAGTGCCCAAGTAGATTTCTAGGTTAGATTTCATAGATAAAATGAGCATATTTGAATAAACAGTAAACAGTTTCCGACTGAGGCTCCCGGACTCCTCTTTAGCTGAAGGGTATCCCCCCCCCCCCTCAAAAAAAAAAAAAAAAACCATGAAAGCGTCCCCTTTTTTCCAGTTCATGATTTGGTCACCTTAACTTACAGTGTCAAATTTTGCAAAAACAAAGGCCAGTAACTCTCGTTTGTTTTCGTTGACCTAACGTAACAACTTCATTTCCTGGCATGTTCGCTCCGAAAGAATTTAAGATAGATGAAACTGAATTGCATGTATACAATTTTAATCAAATAAATACGTTTACCTGTTTAAAAACTACAGTCAAGCGCCGAGAGGCTGACAAATTTGGAGAGTTTATGAATCCACTTACTACACGATAAAACGTAATTGCCGGTACCATTGTTGCCAGATTTCTAAAGCAATGATGCTAAAAGAATGCAATAGAAATAGAATGAAAATGTTAATTTCAAATTCAGTTTTGTGCTGAAGTATTTCAAAGAAGATGAGATGAACGTATTAATGCATGTTGGAGCAGTTTCAGTTATATGCTTAAATAGCCGTCGCTTGGGCCCTGCAGATGGTCTCGGCTTTTAATAGGCCTAAAAGGGTGAGGTAGATAAATCTTTATCAACTTTGAATGAAAGGGAAAAAGACGTGGACGTGGGTTGGGGCAGGCCCGCACCTAGGAAATTCTGGGCCCCAGGCAGCTGACAGAGTTCGTAGATTTTAAAATTCTTGATAAAGGGCGGTCCTCTATCTAGTTCGGGTCCCTGACAAGTGCCATGGCTGTCCCCCATGAGGCGACTGACCCCAAAGGGGCTGGGGGCCTCCAAAAGTAACGCCATGGCTCTTCATGCTCATAATGACGTTACGTAGGTGTCACCTAAGAGGGTAAACTCATGGCGTCACCCCCCCTCCAGACCCCCCCCCCCATGGACACCGGAGACGATCTGCTAAAGATGACGCTCTGGTCTGGTGGTACCCTGTTTTATTGTGTCTATCTGATCTACTGCAACCTATTCTAGTGGCAACCTCCTCTTTCTGATAACACCCTGTTCTTGTCTTATACTGCTCTATTAGCATCTTGTTCTGGTGACCCCCCCCCCCTTTCCTGATGGCAATCTG